AGAGAGAGAGAGAGAGAGAGAGAGAGAGAGAGAGAGAGAGAGAGAGAAGGGAAGGAAGGAAGGAAGGAAGAAAAGAAAGGGGAGAGATAGATCTGAATGTGCCTTGCAGTGCCTGCCAGTAAACACACATCAAACCAGTAAAGCAAGCAAAGGCAGATGAAGAAATCCAGGCTTTTCTGCTTTCTCTGCCTTCAGGCTTTGGTGCCAATATAGTCTTGGCTGTACTATTTTCCATCTCTGTGACCTTGGACAGTCTCTTCAATAGCTCAGTCTTAGTTTCCTAAACTATAATATGTGGATAATACTACCCATTTGAAAGAATAAAATTAACTCGTGAAGGTGCCTAGAGTGCAATAAGCGTTCACTGAATGTTCGCATGAACAGGTCTGTGGCTACTGCAATCTAGCACCGCTTTGCCTCATTGATCTAAGGCCTCAGATTGGTCCCCACCAGACGCCGTCTCTCTCAGATGGTTTCCTAGGGTTGGACACCATGTGGTAGTCCATATACAAATGGTGTCATCTGCATTCCTTCCAACCTGAGACTGATGTGGCAATCCCAGATCTTTCTCACCTACCACACAGCAAGTGTTTAATAAAAGTTCTTGAGCCAATTATCATTCCAAATATCTATATGGTTATTATATCCCACTGAGCTCATGGAATGGCCCACCATAGAGCTGGAACTGAATCATTGGAAGGAACTTTGGAGAAGATATTGTATCCTGTCCCAAGATCTGGCAGGTTTTATGCAATCACCCTCTCACTGAAATTCAGGGCAATGCAACAGAACACTGAAGAGGTTTAACCTTCTATTCTCCCCACACACCTGCTGCCAGAGAACAGCCATGGTTACCAGCAGAGGCTCTGGGACTGCATGGAATCAAGAATACCCCATTTTTACCTGATGGCATCAGAATAACTCCTACCTCTGTTTTGTCACCTGCCTTTCTCTTGTAGCCCTGAAGCAGGCATCGGTGCAGGCAAAAGCCCTCCTCCAACCCTGGACTGCACATAGCTCAGCCCCAGGCAGGAAGCCACAGCTACAGAAAATTAACAGCATTAAGCCTTTTCATTCCTGACCAGCTCTAGGACTTGGAAAACCCACTTCATCTCTACGCTCTCTTGCAAAGGGTGTGACCTTGGGAATTCCACTTACCTCATGGGATATTTGAAGTACGGGTAATAAATGAACCCAGTGAAATCTAAACCCAGCAGGTGGTCAGAATCACCCAGAAAATTATTTAAAAATCCAGATGCCCAGGTTCCACCCTAGATAGATCTGCTCCATCAGAGGGAGCAGGAAGACAGAGGTTCAGGGTCTGTGTTTTTAATACAGTAACCCTGATGATTACAGAAAACCAGCCAGATTTGGGGACAGGAAACTATATTCTGTCCAACATCCTACCCAGTGATTCAGTTGTAGCCCCAAGGCGGGCCTTCCATAAACATTCCCACTGAATAAATAATTGCTATGAACCAATTGTCCAAACTGCCGTCTTATGGAGAAAAACAAGCTTCACCCTCTCCCAGAACTGCAAAGCAAAGCCACCCTCTGGTGTTTCACAGATGTGATCCAGAGCCAAAGGAGCATGTGGGTCTGTGTCTTGGTCTGAGGATAGGAATGCGCGCACACACACATCCTGCCCTCAGTCTCCACACCTGTGACACAAAGAACTTGAAGAAGGTAAATGTCTAAGGATAGTTCAGGTTCAAAACACTAGGATTCATGTAAAAAAAAAAAAAGGAGCTGGTCACAAGCTGACCCACCACCTGGAGGTTCAAGAGTGGGCTTGACTTATTTCATGGCATCATGACATTTAGAGGAAACCTCCATCCAGTGTAACCTGGATCCTGTTGATGGCAGTTCTAGGCTTTCGAAAGGCAGCAAGCCTCTCTGACCGATGAGAGTCTGGAAATTCAAGGACAAATATTTTTCAGCTGGGCCATCCAGTTACCATGGCATGTGATCAACTTGCCACTTGGGCCTACAGTTCCAATTTCCAGTGTCCCCAACTCTTTATGAGTAAGGACATTAGCTTCCCGTAACAGCTCTAAATAAGATAATTTAATCTTGAAAACAAGTGCCATGAAAATGCAGGAAACCAGACCTGACTGACACTATGAAAACAGGGTAGGGGATTAATGATAACCTGCCCACTGCATCTCTTACAGTCACATCCCAGGATGTGAATGTGGAGGTGTTTGTAACCTGAGTGCTCCTAAAACAACCTGTCTGGTGGGCAACATCAGGCTATAGATTCAAGGATGGAGAGGAGCAGGGCCTTCCAGGTGCACCTCTGATCCAAACTAGCAGAATGGCCTTTGACACGCCTGACAGAGGGATGGGGCCTTGTCCTTACTGTAAGGCTTCCCACCCTAAAACTCAGGCTGCTTGACAAGCAGAAGCCAAAGATACAGCAAAGTAAGAGAACAAATATAAGAACATGAGGCCAGGTGTGGTGGCACATACCTATAATCCCGGCACTTGGAAGGCTGAGGCAGGAGAAGGAAGAGTTAACCCTAACCCAGGCCAGCCTGGGTTACATAGTGAGTTCAAGGACAGCCTTTTCCCACACTAGTGCCTCCTGCAGGACTATAGGACAAGGGCAGGTGGCAAACCAGAGTGTTAAATCACACACAGCAGAAGTCAGGGAGAGACGAAGGGGAGAGCTAGGGTGGGAAGAAGGTCTAGATGAATGGCTCATGCAAATGGCCTTTTTACCAGGAAGGGCAAAGGAGTCTGGACCTGCAGCCTCCAGCTCAGCTTCGGCCCCTGCAAGTGAACGAACCCTCACTCAAGACAGACACGTCCGGTGAGGCACTCCTTCCGCAGCTGGGATGGGCTTCGATCCATCCTCCAATATTGCAGATTCTCTGCTAAATCAATCAAGGGCATGGAATGTGTTTTGTCATCAAGAATCAGGAATGAGAATGGAGGTCAGGGACCTGGAGACAGCCAGGTGCTTCGCTGAGCTATTGTTCTCCATGCAGGCAGGGAGACCAGCCAGCTCCATCCTTCCCAGAGAAGTCTGTGCTTAGCTTAAAAGAAACCAAAATAGACACAAAGTACTTTGCTTTTGTCTGAGCATTATTACTCTGTTTTTAGCAATAGCCAAGCTACCCTCTCTGCAGGTCAGATGATTCGTTGGCAGAAGTGAGAAGAGGAGGAGGGAGGGTTGCCGGGCGTCGGCCTCACCTTCAGCTTAGGCTGCCTCCCCAGCCTCTTCTCCCTCTGCGGATACCGTGACGTCCATGTGTGGGGTGTCCACCTTCCAGAGTGTGCCTTCCGAATCTATTCCAGTTGACAATGAGTGTGCAGATGTTGGTAGACAGAAGGAATGTCATTCCCGTTTTTAAAGGAGGGTTACCCCCTACCTATAAGGGGACCATCGTGAAAAGTGCTTCGTCTTGGAAAAACTTCACCCACTACCACATTTCTTTCTCCATAACTGAGGGTTTTTTCATAGCCCCAGTTTCAAAGAGCCAGGGCAAGACAGAGTCAAGAAGCAAACGCGTCAAGGCAAGGCAAGGGGGCAGGAATCCTTAGCAAAAACCAGACCCGCCCTCCACCTGCTCCTTCTCATTCTGGGGGTTCTTTCCCAGGGGGGCTGTTGTACAGGGCAGGGAAGAGGCTCTCTGGGGAGCTGTGAGCTTAGGGCAAGGAGCTGCAAGAGAAGGGGCCCCGGCCCCGTCTCCCCTAGATCTGGCTCCCATCCTGGGCATCCTGACCAGCTCTGGGGGCCTCATCTCCAACACGTTTCTGGACCAGATGCCACCATCCACAGCCCTGAGGAATTCTTTATGGAGAAGAGACCAAGACCAGCATCTTTTCTAGGTCGTGAACTCTGTTAGCAGGCACAAGCTCCTCCCTCCCCAGGACTCTGGAGATGTAGTCACAAAGACAGCATCTATGTCCTTCGAAGACACAGTGTGTGAAGAGAAGAGAAGCTTTTATGATTGAGACTCTATTGAGGAAATTTGTTATCCAATAAAAGCATCCAAACTGAATTTTATAACCTTTTATTTTAATAATATTGCCTACAATAAGATTATAACTTTATGAAAATACAAATAATATAACCAACTGTCTCCTTTTAAACTTCTCGTTTGTTATTTTATGTAATATTTACATAGCACCAGTGATTCTCAGGCTATGTGCTGAACACGAGGTCCCAGGGCGAGGCCCACCCGAAGTCGCCCCTGCCATTTACAGGAAGGTTACAGAAGTATGCCTGTGGGGGAAATACTAAAAACCTGAGCCGGGCACGGTGGCACAAATCTGTAAATCCCAGCTACTGAGACTGAGGGAGACTGAGGCAGGAGGATCACAAATTCGAGTCCAGCTTGGGCAGCTTAGTGACTTAGGGAGACCCCATTTCAAAATTGAAAAAAAAAAATTAAAGGGCTGAGGATGTAGCTCAGTGTAAAGGCTCTGGGTTCGATGCCCAGCACCACCAAAATG